GAAATCGCTCGCCGCTCCCGTGTATTTTTTTCGCTGGCGGGGTGTCATGTGAGCGGCGAAAAAATTTAGATTTCGGAATTAAGATTTCGTTGTTTTACGACAAATGTGAAAGCATGATTATATAAATTTCTACGTATATACTATTATTTATGCACTCACTATCATAATGTCACAGGTGCGATTGTTGGGGTTTGAAAAAAACCGAAACAACAGCTCGGGGGTCTGGGGGCTGGCGAAACCCTAGAAGCTCTAGGTATAAGAAAGCATTTTCCTGCAATCTGAGCCAGTTCCTGGAATCTAGAATGAACTTTGAAGGGGAAAACCCCTGAAGTGTGCCCATGTTTCCAAACGTTAAACGTGGAGAATTATTCTGTGGCTAGAAAGTGATACTGTATATATTCATACATTGTCATACTATAAACCCATGGACTAGCTTTAACCGTCATCACCGATGGCGTTCAACTAAGAATAGCTCAGGTACACATTCACAGAGCAGGTTGCAACACATGTAGGTGTGGAGTTTACCTGTACCTCGTCATCTCTGTCGAAGGGGGATCGGCTTCTCTCCCTCCTCCCTCTCCTGTCTGAATCTCTCCTGCGATAGTCTCGTCTGTTATGACTGAAACAATCGACACTGGGGTCAAGGCATTGAGCCGTCCCTTAATCCCATGCATGCTACACATTTTCACACGCACGCACGCACACACGTATATATATAAGCTCATTCCCTCCTTATCAGCTCTCACTGTCTTTCTGCTTGACTAGCCAATATTAGCTTACTTTCGATCTCCATCCCGTTCATTCATTTTGTAAGACTGTTTTTGTTGAGCTCGTAGATTCTAGATCAGTCTGCAGACGAAAGTATTTCCGACCTTCCCAGGGCATCTGAATGTGAAAAATATCAACACCAAGTGACTAGGTACGCCATCATATCACCAACCACAATCTATAGAAATAATTAAACTAATTCTAACAGACTTTGGAATGTTGTTACACCACGCACACAACTTAATTGAGCAATGCCAGCTCCTGATTCCACCCATGCCAGAATTCCTGCAGAAGGGACACAGCTTTAATCGTAGAACAAAATAGCGTTGTATAAATGGTAAATTTTAGAATACTGTATACGCCATATTTTTCGCGTACGGTTATTTTCGCGAATTCAGACTTGACGGAGAATTTCGCGAGTGGTTAATTTCGTGGTCGGTGAATTATGAATTATTCGGTATTATTCAGTAAGAATTATTATGGGACCGTCTAATTACCGAAAGGCATACAGAAAGGCATACCAAAAGGAACCAAAAGATCCCCAAAAACACCAAAAGGTGCTATAAGAACACCAAATTCTATCGAAAGGTACTGAAAGAAGCACTGCATGAACTCAAATATATAAAAAAGTCCACCAAAATGCCTTAAAAATGAATTAAATTGGCCCGAAAAGAGCCACACCAATACTTATTTCAGAGCCAATTTAGATTTTTCTGCCTTTCAGTGCCTTTTTCTTATTTTTAAGTATCTTTATTACAAGTCTCATCTTTACTAGATCTTATTTTTACTGATTCCTTTGAATCTTGCCTTGGTTTTTGTCATTGTCTTTTGATGCCATTCAGTTAATTTTTCTGCCTTTTGGTGCCTTTTTGTAATTTACTACATGCTGTCTAAACACCGAAAGGCACAAAAGGCAGGGTAAAAAATACCGAGAGGCCACTTCAAAGTTTCAAACACCGAAAGACACTACGTAACTCTGAAATCAACCCAAAAAAACATCGCATGCCACAATGAAGCAATAAAATCCAAGGATGAGATTAGATAATTTAATTTTCAGCTGAAATTTTAATTAGCAAACAGAGGAGCGAGCAATGCGAGGACCGTAGGTCATCGGCATGCTAGGGGGGTACGGGGGCATGCTCCCCCGAATTTTTTTTAAAAGAATGGTGCAATTTGGTGCATTCCAAGCTATTCTAAACAAATTATAGGAGACTCTTGAATCACCTTTTCAAGTTGTCAAAAGGAACAAACGAACTATAATAGGAAATCAGGGGGCTGAAAATAGGGCAAGTTTTTTTATTAAATGTCTAGACATAATGATATTTTTCTGTTTCCACCAGTCGCTTGCATTGTTTTACTCAGACATAAGCTGCCTTGCTGCGACGAGATTTGGAATGAAAAAAAACACAATCGCGGATGGAACAATTATGCATAGTCATGCCACAGAACATGCACGCAAGCAACATGTAAACCGGCCCCAAGGGCCATGCATGCCGTCGCTTACTGATCAGCTACCTCAAATGTTTAAGCCCCTCTAACTGCAGCTTCGTGAACTGCAGGGGTTTTTCTTTATCCGGCTACGCCAAAAACAGATACAACTGTATACCTTCCGCTGTCAGGCTACTGTTACACTTCTACAGTCAGCTGCTGTTGAGGGATATAATTTAAATTGTAACATTGGTTCACACCCCTCCCAATTTTCTCACACGAATTTAGACGTTTCACAAAATCGACCCCTGGGACTGCTCCAAATCCGCTGCAAGAACTACTCATCCCTTGAAATCTCACGAAGATGCGCCAAAAATGAACGCGCGTGTCGTCAGCTGGCCCAATCGGCGGCGTATCACTAAGAATCCATGTAAGTGTCCAAGATTGAAGAAGCAGACTTTCAAACGTTATAGCCACTATTATAAGCTTTTTATATATGTGAATGCAGTCTATTCTTTATCGGATGCACGACGCAGCGCAGATGTTATCATGTATATTATAACATAATCCTCCCTCATACCGCTTCTGTTATGCACGTCGCGCCTAGCCGCCCAGCCGCCAAAACCAGTAGTTAGCTGCTGACCAATCGCGCGGTGCCAAATTCTGCATGTACTCGCAAATTAGGCAAGAGTTAAATAAAGTACAGGTAGCATTTGCAGTGCCGACCCGGCAACCGAAGGCATAATGATGGCAGCGCGCACGTACAGGCGTTCTCCCAGGATGAAATTGAAACAGGGCGGAAGGGGGCGAGCGGGGGATGGAGAGCGGGGGAGGGCAAACTAGCTGGCGTCCGGGGGGGCGTACCTTAATGCGTAAAATCGCCACCACAGCAGCTATTTGAGCTACTTGTATTTATAAGACAGCCGAGTCGGTACAGTTTGTGTTAAGCGTTTGGGACAGGGTGCACCTGTTTGTACTTGTGTGTGGTCTGCCAGTGCATGCGGCTAGTGTAGCCGACGTTTATCTCATATAGTCAGGTACTACCGTAGAAAATACACCGCGTCCGGGCGCGGCCTGCGTCGAATTGGGAATTTCTGACGATCGATTCCCGCGCTGTCAAACTTTTATTGTGGTGGAATATTAATCGGGGCAGGAAGTAATTTAAACGCGGGACAACATTGAAACCAGTGGCGGGGAGTTTTCCCAAACGGGGCAGGGCGCGACCCGGTTTGCGCAAACGTAGGCGGAGAACCTGGACTACGTGCAGTACACGCAGCCGAGAGCGAAGCGACACATAACTAAGATTTATTAACTGTCATTTCACTAGCAGGGCCATTAAACTCGAGCCCACTTCCTGAGAGCATCGAGCTGGCCGTGTAAATAGGTTTCCTACTCATTATTTGCCCGCGATTTCGGTGCAGCTGGTTTTAGCGCCTTATTGTGGCATTGCACGTTCTTTATTGATGCCTTTGGCAAATGGATTTCGGTGTTACTAGGCTCATAGGCGTCTATGTCCCAGGGTACTGCCGGCAATGTAACCTGGGCTACGGTCCGGTATACGCGGAACGTATCCTGGTAACTATCTGATATGGTTAGCGTATAGGGTATTAGGAGCTAGCGCGTTAGGCGACTCCCTAGACTCCTGTAGTGGAGTTAGGCGCAGGTACGGCTCGAGCATATTAGATAGCTACCAGGGTACGTTCCGCAAGTACCCTGGGGGACATAGACCCTCTCAGCTTACATAGTGTCTTTCGGTGATTTTTGGTGTGTTAAAATGACTATGCTATTGCTTTTTGGCTCAGAAAAACTCAATATAGCTGAATATAGTCTCACCTGACAGTGGAAATATCACATGATATACACACAACATAAAAACACTAAGATTGTTATGCGCAGTTATAGCATAGAAAACAGCTTTGGCAAAATAATTGAGTGAATTATTGTAGAAATCATTCAACAACAAAGTGCTTAATTGCTGTTTGAGCATTTTGTTGTAATTAAAATGTACACATGCTGCAATTATTAGCGATCATTCATAAAGCCTAGGACACGCTGTGCGATTTTCTACGCTGGCCGCTTGCGATTGATATTGTTACTGTACATGCTAACACGGCCAGCGTACAAAATCGCAGTGTGTGTCCAGCTGTACGCGCAACTCGTACGGCGTTCTAAAATCGTGAGCGAAAATATACGCTGCCGGGCAGCACACAGAATCGCTAGTGTGTTCTAGGCTTAACCATTAATGCTATCGCGTATGCGCGTTTCTGTTTCTGTTGTAGTCTGTTGCAGTATCCAAATTTGGCATCGAGGCAACGCTAGCCATGGGGTGTGACCTGGCTTGGGTAAAGCCAGGTAGTTTAGCCTTTTTTTAGCCGAAAGGCACTGAGGGTGGTCACAGCCAGAGTTTTTTTGCGCCCTCAGTGGTTCTTTTACGTCTTCATTGACCTTAGTATTACTGGAGACGGGACCGCCATTTTACGTTGTCATCCGAGCCACGGGAGATTTACAGTCTCCAATGTTGAGAGCCAGGTTTGTACACCTTGAGAAAATTCACTGACCCGGCCGGGGTTTGAACTCACGGCCTTCAGTGGACAGTGTACGAGGCCTAACCACTGAGCCACAGAGGCTCTCGTACGGCGTTCTAAAATCGTGAGCAAAAATCCGGGCAGCATACAGAATCGCTAGTGTGTCCTAGGCTTAACCGTTATAGGCTTAAGACGCGTATCATCGACGATCTTTTTACGTTCTGAGACTGAGTAGGGTACGTATTAGACCGAATAATTCTGTCCCATATAACCTTTTTTATATTTTGGTGAGAGTTATTGGGACAGAACGGGTTCATTGAAATTTCGTGAGATCGCATGCAAAATGCATGCGCTGCTAATGCGGCCCGTACGCCGCTATTGGCGCAGAAAAAAACCTACCGTTCCCTTCTACATGGCTTTACCTTGCTACTGATATGTGTATACATTCACTTCAATCGTTATTTACTTCTTAAAAGATTTTTGTTCAGAAACCCCGCTTCATTAACTTTAGCAAATTACGTTGGCCATTTACAAACAATCAGACCAATCAGATACAAGCGAGAACCAGGGGCTATTGTAAGACTCGCTCTGATCGTTCTCCAGCGGCAGTTAATCATAATGTAAGCGGGCTATAGTCTATAGCTAGTATTTCAGTAGCTCCAAGAAACGGTATTGCTAAGGTTACAATACCCTATAGACAATCTGTATAGACAATCCGTCGCACAGCCTGGTCGGGCTAGTATTTCAGTACAGTAGGCCCTAGNTAATAATTGACACACATATATGTACTCAAGAAAATATATCAATCCCGAAACAGATCCTTCTGCGCGCTAGAATATTCATTAATAGTCACAGTTAGATTGCTAGGAGGTGTAGTTTATACAGGCGATATCACATAAAGTCGGATCGCTCGAACTCAACCCGACACACGTACTGGAGAGAACGATGTTTACTTAAATCTAGTGATAAATCCTACTAATAGTAATAATAAAGAAATTGTAATAATCACTATGAAACTAAAGCTGATGGGGCTAATAAGTAATGAGTACTATACGGGGTGCTTTCCATAAGTTACGTTACTTGTGCGTTTTATTTATCAAACCTGCTTAACCTTGTTTTTCGAGACTAAAATTACAAAATGGCGTTTCTCACGAACTGACACGTGACCACTATTAAATCACTACCGTTCATTACGCTGTAGGCATTAGAGGATGTACGCATTCAACAATGGCGGCGCGACCATCGGAGGGCGCCGCAGCTCCGTGCACTAAAGCTGACGCGACGATGTTTGTGGCTGCATTATTTTAGGCTTGGCGCTATCTGGGTGTCCAAACGACATGCAACATGGAGATGGGTTGGATGTTTAGATGTACTGTAATTAAAAACGAATTATTTTTTTTTTTTTCTTTTAAAATGTATGCGCCCGCATTCGACTGCGTGACCTGTGTTTCAGGCACAAATATGGTGTCAATTAGTAAATTTGCGATATTTTTTTTAAAACGGCCGGACAACATAATGTCTCATAAGCACAGGGAGGCTTGAGGCGAAAAAAAAAAGAAGTGTTATATAGTATAATAGGGGCTCCGCCTGATTTATAATACTATAACACTTTTTTTTTTCGCTCAAGTCCTCTGTGGTCATAAACTCTAATGGTGCACAGCTGAAGTACATGGCTACCTAGCTTTAGATATTGCCACTTGGATTGTTGAAGATTTATTGTCCGTTCCGAAAACGGACCGGAAATCCTATTTTTCAGGCTCCTGAAATTTAATGTCTTAACGTATAGAATCCTATGGAAGATATTAATTAGTGGTGCTGTTGCCTTTCATCATGGCGAGCCCTGGTTGAAGGCAGAAAATGTCACGTGATGTGACGTCTTGGCTAAATGCAATATTGTATACAAAATGACATTATAATATAGACTGATATATAGATAAATTTACTTATGTATTATACATGTAAATATCGTCTATATTATCACCACTCCTGGTGATTGAGGAGTGTAATATTATAAGGCGCGTTCACCACGGTAGCAAGAATCCACAGGTTCGTACGCGTACGAAACAGATTTTCGTACGTACTCGCGATAATTTCCCGTCGTGCTGAACTGACCACGTAAATAGCTATACTCAGTTCGAACGCGTAATACTATGCCTGACAAAATGATGCGTTTCCTACGTACTTCGATATAACTATACGCGTATAGCGGACGTGTGAACGAACCAAGACTATAGCCCTATACGCGTATACGCGTCACGCTTGTGGGCGAGAGAAGAGAGGAACTGGAGAGAGGAAGAGAGCGAGGAAAGAGACGAGAGAGAGAGAGAAGAGAGAGAGAGAGAGAGAGAGAGTAGAGAGAGAGAGAGAGAGAGAGAGAGACAGAGGAGACGCATAGAGATAGAGAGAGGGATGAGAGAGGGGGAGACAGCATAGAGAGGAGAGAGACAGCTTTGGGTAGAGAGAGAGAGAGAGAGGTGAGAGAGAAGAGAGGGCGGCGCAATGCACACAGAAGAGCCCATACACAGAATGAGAAAGATGAGTATAGCAAAAGAGCACGAAACTTATAACCGCGCAATTTGGCGTAAACTATCGTTTTCCTTCCCGCCCTATGCGCCATCTATAACGCGACGACGTACATTTCAAAAACTAACGTGTGAACGCTGTTTAACTCAAGGTCAACGCTTATACGCCGTAATCGTACGGAGTCCGTAAGATACGCGTTATCGAAACTAGTTTTACGTTACGCTGTGAACTCGCTATTATGTTCTTACATTAGCGGTTTTTATTTCATAAAGTGCTATTCGCACTTTATAATTATTTTTCCACGGGCGAGATGGCGCCAAAGAGTCATATTTTAACTAAACATTTTTAGTGTCATTGGATGGTGGCGCCGCCATCGAGAGAGCGGTACATTTTAAAACTAAGGAGCTAAATATAATCAGGAGCTGAGAACAATATATACAATGTATATATTGTTCTCAGATCAGGAGTAGATAATCAGGAATAGATATAGTTCCCTATTATCTACTTCTGATATAATGCTACTACTGTATAAATAATAATGCATTATACATTATGTATAATATAGCTACTTGGTTCCAAAATGTAGTAGCAGTAGTAGTAGTAGTGGTGGTAGTAGTAGTGGTGGTGGTAGTAGTAGTAGTAGTAGTAGTGGTAGTAGTAGTGGTGGTGGTAGTAGTAGTAGTAGATAGTAAGTAGTGGTAGTAGTAGTGGTGGTGGTAGTATATGTAGTAGTAGTGTAGCACAGAGGCTCATTAGGAGTGTTCCAATGGTCATAAATAACATATATATATATATATATAATATACTTATAATATGATCATAATAACATATATATATATATATCTAATATATATATATGGTCATGGTTATATAGTATATTAATAACTATTATAATATATTAGTTTGTGGTTTAATGTCATTTAGGTTAGAGTTAGGGTTAGTGTTAGGGTTAGGGTTAGGATCGATTATCAATCATTAATCATTAATCGTTAATGATATCAAAGTTGGGAACACTCCTAATGGAGCGTTAGCCATAAAAAGGAGGAATGTTCATTTCATTACACATTAGAATTATTTCACAGGTTATCATTGTCATATTTATACATGTAAGAAGTAAACGGTAAATCGATAATACACGACTGGAATATAACATGTCAAATATCAGATAATTTTTGAATTGCCTTTTATTGATTGACATGATTCCTACACAAAATCGCGGCTGTACATTACAGCGCTCAGCTAGACTGCAGACAAAATTAGACCACATAATAAAAATAAACTACACGTTACGACTGCTATTGCTGGTAACCCCATTTTCATCAGCAATATAGTTGGTTACCAACTAATACCAAAATTAAAGCTAAAAATCGCGCCTATTAATGTTCCCAGTAGATGGGAGCACTGATTTCATTTGCGAAGACCTGTTGATTTATTGTTTTATTGATAGCATTATATATTAATAAACCTACATAAATGTGACCGACGACCAATGCTGCTTTTAGTAACGCATTAGGAACTCTGGAAGATTTGACATAGTAGGAAATATTTGCTTTCCGATATCTGCAGGTTCATTAATCGTTAACCACTACCATCTAGTGTGTTACAGTGTAGAAAACTTTCATTTCTGGTCATTTTACGAATTTTTCAAAAAAATAGGATGCTTTTCATTTTCGGACCTTTTTTACCGTTTTATAGAAATTTATATCGTTAAGGAAATTGTGGCGATTAAACTAAATGGAAAAATACCTATCGCATTGCCTCACACGTTGAGACCGAACTATTGTGATATTGTCATGGTGCTACAACTAAAAACCAGCGTTCAGTACAGTCACCTGTGTTCATGTGGGAAAACTACACTTAATACGCTCATGCATGCAAAACGTCGACGAAAAGCACTTATCGTGACAAAGAAAATTACGCATTGTGTGGCGCCGTCCTCGCTAATAGCATCGCTTTTCATTAGATTCCCGTTTTAATGGTAACACAAATCACCCGTCGATGATGACTCTGTGACGTTTTCATAATTTTCATTTGAAATCAATTATAATATTCGCTATATAACTAAAACAAAGTGAGAGACATGGCGTGCTCATATGGCTGCGCGATATATTTACAAATGTTGCCGACCGATGGTAGTGAATTGCAGGTCAACTAAGGCCTACGCTATCACCTAGTGCTAACTTGGCTTCATCCCTTTGAGAACTCCTCAGCATCTTCCCGTTAGCATCTCACTTCGCTAGCCGTAAAAACGAAGCTGCTGCTGCATCCTAACTCGCTATCCCCTCGCCCCCCTCACACATGAATAACACATGAATTTCGGCGAGGAACGTATAGCCAACCAGACGCTATAGCGCCGCACATTATATCAACTCTCGAAAATCAAGGGCGGTGCTCGCGTTGCCGTATCGCGCCCAGGTAGCGACACCTCATCAGCTTTCCTGTTTGTTCTCGACGAGCTGCAACTCTTCCTCCTCCTTCCCGTTGTTCAGCTTCTTTCTCTCGTCCGGCTTCTTCTCCGCCTCCCCATTCGTCGTCTCCCTCGCGCACTGCAGCGGTTCGTCTGGTATCGGTTCCGTCGTCTGGCAGTAGGGGGAGCCGTGCGGTGGGTTCGTACTACTCGGGTGCTGCGCCCACGGATGCGGCGGTCGTCGTTGGTGCGCGCTGTACGAATAGAACTTCAGGCCGAGTGGAAGCGGGCCGTAGCGCGATCGCCAGATAAGCAACATGAGCCAGAGCGACACGAGCGAGCCGACGGCTAGCGCGACGGCCATCGCCAGCAGGTACCAGCGCAGACGACCGACGACGACGTCGCATGCGCCTGCCGTATCGACACAACAGTTTCGTCGTCACGTCGTCGCCCATGAGGCAGCCGCAGGTGGCGCCACTGGGGCGTGCGGTGTCGCGTTGCACGTACTGTAGTGGAAGACATCGATGGCGTGCGCCGCCGGGAAGATGCAGGCGACAGCACAGAGGAACACGCACGCAGACGACAGGCCGACGCAGACACACTGGAAAAACAACACAAGAACGTCTCGTCAGGCAATCACTGCCAATCAGGACATTCACAGTGCAGACGACGCAGTCATGTGATGTGTATTGTGTATTTACGGACTGAGTGACTCCGACTCTCTTTTCTGTTTCTTCTTCTTCTCTCTCTCTCTCTCCTCATCTCTCTCTCTCTCGCCTCCCCTCTCCCTCTCCCTCTCCCTCTCACCTCTTATCTCTCTCTCTCGCTTCTCTCTCTCCATTCTTCTCGCTCTCTCTCTCTTCTCTCCATCTCATCTCTCTCTCTCTGCTCTCTCTCCATCTCTCTCTCTCTGTCTCTCCCGCTCTCTCTCTCTCTCTCTCTCTCTCTCTCTCTCCGCTCTCTCTCTCCTCTATCTCTCTCCTTCCTCTCTCTCTATCTCTCTCTTCTCCCTCTCTCTCTCTCTCTCTTGCTCTCTCTCTCTCGCTCTCTCTCTCTCTCTCTTCCTCTCGCTCATCTCTCTCTCTATCTCCCCCCCTCTCTCTCTCATCCTCTCTTCCTCTCTCGCTCTCTTATCTCTCGTCTCTCTCTCTTAGCTCTCTCTCCCCCCTCTCTCGCTCTCGCCTCTCTCTCCTACTATCTCTCTCTTTCTCTCTCTCTCTCTCTCTCTCTCTCTCTCTCTCTCTCTCTCTCTCTCTCTCTCTCTCTCTCTCTCTCTCTCTCTCTCTCTCTCTCTCTCTCTCTCTCTCGTCTCTCTCTCCTCACTCTATCTCTCTCTCTCGCTCTCTCTCCTCACTCTATCTCTCTCTCTCTCTCTATCTCTCTCCTCTCTGTCTCCCTCGTTTACGCTCTATTTTACCCTCTCCCACGCTGTCTCTGTCACTCTTTCTCTCCCTCCACCTCTCACTCCTCTGTCTCTTCTTCCTCCAACCCCTCCTCTTCCTCTTCATCCACCTCCTCCTTATCTCCTTCCTTCTCCTCTCCATTGACTCTTTCTTTCCCTATCTTTCTCTATTCGTGTGTAACACTCTTGCACCCACTCTTGCGATTCCGGGTTGTAATGCATCCAGATTTTACGACCGCTTTATTTAGTTTATCACGAGTGAATAATANCTCTCTCTTCTCTCTCTCTACTCTCTCTCTCTCTCTCTCTCTCTCTCTCTTTCTTTCCTTCACTGTCTCCCTCGTTTACGCTCTATTTTACCCTCTCCCGCGCTGTCTCTGTCACTCTTTCTCTCCCTCCACCTCTCACTCCTCCGTCTCTTCTTCCTCCAACCCCTCCTCTTCCTCTTAATCCACCTCCTCCTTATCTCCTTCCTTCTCCTCTCCATTGACTCTTTCTTTCCCTATCTTTCTCTATTCGCGTGCAACACTCTTGCACCCACTCTTGCGATTCCGGGTTGTAATGCATCCAGATTTTACGACCGCTTTATTTAGTTTATCAGGAGTGAATAATAATATATATAATAATAATAATAATAATAATAATAACTCTATTATTATTCACTCCTGGTGTTATTAGCGGCAGACGACCGCGACCGGACGCTTGTTTGTTACCTTGACGACGAACGCTCTTGTGTTGCCCTTCCAGACATAGAACTCGACGAGACAGTAGTAGAGACCGACGAGGCCCGCCAGGAACAGCTGTAGGGAGAGAAACAGACATCCATCAGATCTGCGCTGTCGCACATGCATATGACCAGGGGTAGATAATGACAACTTTGTCATGGTCTACCCCTTAATATGATGCTATCGTTCGGTGGTAAACCTTAACTAACAAGAATAGCGCATAATTATAAACCCTCCGGAATAACGACGAGTGACGATTGAGGGTGACATCGAGTGACATCGGGCGACATCGGGCGACACCGGGCGGCATCGGGTGACATCGGGTGACATCGGGCGACATCGGGCGACATCGGGCGACATCGGGTGACATCGGGATCGGGTGACATCGGGTGACATCGGGCGACATCGGGCGACATGGGGTCGGGCGACACCGGGTAACATCGGGTGACATCGGGCGACACCGGGCGACATCGGGTGACATCAGGTTAGGGACTGTTGCTGGTTAATCTCTCACATAGCTTTATGTGGTATTGTTGTTTAGTTTGGGTTCAATGTTCCCTAGTGCGTGCCTGACACTGCCTGTGTTTAACTACAGCCCACAAGGAAAGACCGTGGAGGTAGTCTCATTTATCACGTATTTATATACGCCTGCAGAAACAACACGTACATCACCGATCCAAGTAGGCGTTTAACTGTTTAAGCGTACGAAAGAAATGAAGTAACGTGACCGCCACCTTGAAACAATGCGAGAAAACAAACGAGGAATCACCTAGAAAAATCCATTGGTGTTTGTATCGCAATCGTGTCACCAATGTAAATGCAGTTTAGCGTGGAAGTAAAGCTGGGTTTACTCTACCGACTATATGCTGTCAAATTGGCGAATTGGACCAATTCTGCAATTCGGCAACTCCGAGTTGGCGAAAATAGAAGTTACATGTTCTTAATCTCTCAACTAGTTGCTATTAACCAGTTGCTCGCGCAACTGTTACGTTTACACTGCCGATTGTCGGTT